AGATTTAATGTTTTTCTAAAAGATCTGCTCTAGGAATTATTTTGGGGATGTTTTGTGTCTTGTGTTATATAGGAGAGGTGTCTAGATTATCACAATGGTTCCTTCTGGCTTTGGAATCTATGAATATATTAATCCTCTAATTTTTCATCAGTTGAAACCCTGTCTCAACTTTTCCATTATTTTGCCTGGGATTGATGTCAGGCTAACTGGCCTATAGTTATCCCGGTCATCCAACTTGTTTTGTTTTAAATATTTGCACAATATTAGCACTCTTCCAGAGTTCTGGAATTTCCTTGCAATTATTCCCCACCACAATTATCCAGTCTTATCAAATTGCACTTATCTATTTAAGTACCAGATTATGCCCAGCTAAAGCTAAGGTGAAAGCATGGCCCAGAGATTCTCAGTTTTTCTTTTAGATACGTCTCACATACGTTGTCAGTTGGTTTGCATATGTGTCTTTCTGTGTGCTGTCCACAGCTCTGTGCAGATATCTGGTTTAGCAGACCTTGTCCCCAATTTCTTTTTGCTCTGCTATTAGTTGGGTCATGGCAACAATTTCTCTATTTGCCTTTTTAAATGTTCCCTAATGAGTTGGTTATGGTAGTTACTAACTTCCATAACCAGTACAAATAATTTCTTTACCAATTTCTTTTCCCGTGCCTTTATATTGTTTGCTGTGATTAATTTGTTCATTTTTATTTTATATTTGGTTAAACAGGTTAGCAATGTCATGCACATTGTAAATGGTGTACCATTTCTTTTTCACGTCAGGGACAGTGACTGACACTGACACTTAACAGTGATGTCAGTTGGCTTGTGTGTGTGTGTTCTTTACGTATGCTGTCTCCAGCTCTGGACAGATCGCTGATTCAGCAGACCTTGATAGCACTACCCAATCCGGTTAAGTGCTGGAGGCTGGAATGTTGTGGCCTCAGTAACGCTGTTGACACTATCTATTAATAACGCTCATTGCTTCTGTCCTTGGAGCTTCAGTGTTATTAATAGATAGTGCAGCATGTTAGTTCAGCAGACACCAATGTTACTCATAAAGGAAGACCACAGGCATGGTTCGGTGACGAAGGCAGTCCTCCAGGTTCACTGTCAATGAAGCACAGTACTAGCTCCCTAGATCAATGTCTACAGTTACACTAACACAAGTATGCTCCTTACAATGGACTTAGCTCAGTCAGCGGTGGGACTTTCTGCTGGCCCTGGGCTGGACAAAGGGTTAAGGTGAAACCCCAACATTTATAGGCTGAAACAAACAACTGGAATACACAACTTACACACCACATTACATATTTTATGACATCTATTTGTTATCTCCCCTTGTTCCTGATATCTTGGACAAAACATCCCTATTCATTATTTTGTTAAACCATCTTATCTTGTACTAGATTGGGATGTATTTGTACTAGCTGGAATATATTTACGCAAATATCTAATACCTAGTACACTAGCAACAACTTTGCCAAGTTCATGTGCTGGACAGTAAACTTGTGAGCATCTACTTTAATACATGGCCTGACTTTGGTTCGCAGTCTCTGGTTCAAGTCTCAGATCTTGTACCAGGCCCAGTGCTCTAGGATATCTCTCTCGCCCTCTA